GTCTGGAGGCCGTCGTCGGTGTTTTTGATTGCTCTTGGACCGTCTGGGACCATGTGGAGCTCTCTTGGAGGCCACTCGGAGCGCTCCTGGAGCGCTCTTGGGGCGGTATTGGGAGCCCTCTTGGGCCGTCCTGGACGCCTGTTGGCCCGTCTTGGGGCCCTCTAGGGCTATTTGGGGGACCCTCTTGGAGGCTTCTTGGGCCGTCTGGGAGCGGGTTTGGGGGGCTCTGGGGCCGTCCAGGAGCGGGGGACGCCCCAAAAGGCGCACGTGTGAAAACATATACGTTTTACGAAGGGAGCGGGCGATTGTTTGCGTGTAGAGGCCCTCGTGGGGCGCATCTTGGATGCCTCTTGGGGCGTCTTGGGGGCGTCTTGGGGGCCTCTTGAGCCGTCTGGAGGCCGTCTTCGATGTTTTTGATCGCTCTTGGACCGTCTGGGACCATGTGGAGCTTTCTTGGAGGCCACTCGGAGCGCTCCTGGAGCGCTCTTGGGGCCGTTTCGGGAGCCCTCTTGGGCCGTCTTGGACGCCTGTTGGCCCGTCTTGGGGCCCTCTAGGGGTATGTGGGGGACCCTCTGGGAGGCTTCTTGGGCCGTCTGGGGGCGGGTTTGGAGGCCTCTTGTGCCGTCTGGGAGCATCGGAAAACCCAGAAACCGCCCTCTTGGGCTGTCGTGGGGCCCTCTTTGAGGCTTCTTGGACCGTCTTAGTGCGGTCTTGGGGGGCTCTGGGGCCGTCCAGGAGCGGGGGACACCCCAAAAGGCGCACGTGTGAAAAAATATACGTTTTACGAAGGGAACGGGCGATTGTTTGCGTCTAGAGGCCCTCTTGTGGCGCATCTTGGATGCCTCTTGGGGCGTCTTGGGGGCCTCTTGAGCCGTCTGGAGGCCGTCGTCGGTGTTTTTGATCGCTCGTGGACCGTCTGGGACCATGTGGAGCTCTCTTGGAGGCCACTCGGAGCGCTCCTGGAGCGCTCTTGGGGCGGTTTTGGGAGCCCTCTTGGGCCGTCCTGGACGCCTGTTGGCCCGTCTTGGGGCCCGCTAGGGCTATTTGGGGGACCCTCTCGGAGGCTTCTTGGGCCGTCTGGGAGCGGGTTTGGGGGGCTCTGGGGCCGTCCAGGAGCGGGGGACGCCCCAACAGGCGCACGTGTGAAACCATATACGTTTTACGAAGGGAACGGGCGATTGTTTGCGTGTAGAGGCCCTCGTGGGGCGCATCTTGGATGCCTCTTGGGGCGTCTTGGGGGCCTCTTGAGCCGTCTGGAGGCCGTCTTCGATGTTTTTGATCGCTCTTGGACCGTTTGGGACCATGTGGAGCTCTCTTGGAGGCCACTCGGAACGCTCCTGGAGCGCTCTTGGGGCCGTTTTGGGAGCCCTCTTGGGCCGTCTTGGACGCCTGTTGGCCCGTCTTGGGGCCCTCTAGGGGTATGTGGGAGACCCTCTGGGAGGCTTCTTGGGCCGTCTGGGGGCGGGTTTGGGGGCCTCTTGGGCCGTCTGGGAGCATCGGAAAACCCAGAAGCCGAACTTGTGAAAAATGTACGTTTCACGAAGGGAATGGGCCAATTTTTGCGTCTAGGGACCCTCTTGGGCCGCATCTCGGAGGCCTCTGGGGGACTCGTGGGGACCTCTTCTGCCGTCGAGGAGGCCTCGTAGCCCGTCTTTGGGCCACCTTGGGCGTCTTGGAGCGCTCGTTGGGCGTCCCGGAGCCATTTCGAGGCCACCAGAGGAGTCCCTGCACGATTTTCACGAGGTTTTGCACGATTTTCGGGAGCGGATGGCCCCTCCGGGGGATTTGAACCGACCCCCCCCTCCCCCTCCAAATCGACCGGACCGGGCTCCCGGGGGAGGGGTTTGGGGAGGGGGAACATCTCACACGCCCAATGGGTCGGCGGATTACTGTAGTTCTTCGACGGCCCCGAGGCCCAATGAGGGCCCCTTGGAGGCCGAAATAGCGAAAAACTGTCCGTCGTGCTTTTTTTTTCACAGCGCGAGGAGGTTGGGGTCGACGGGTCAGTACGGAGCCTCCAGAAGTCCCGACCCTTGCCCTGAGGTCGGTTTTTCATCCCGAGTCGTCTTTCGGGAGTCCTGGGGCTCGGAGGCCAAGAACGGGCAGAACAATAACCCGTTGTGTTTTTTTGTTCACGACGCGAGCATGCCTGGGGAGGTCACCCTGGCCCAGGGCCGTGGGCCTTCTCCGAAGCCGCAGGGGGGCCGCTTCTCAGAAGGCAGGAGGGCTCCCGAGAAGCCCCGCCGCCTTCTGCGGAGGCCTCCCTGCATGGGGTTCGCGAGCACTGCCAACACTGATAGGAAGGATGATCGACTTCCCAAGGATACCCTCTTGCACCCTTGCCCCCTCGGTGATCTTCGGCCCATCCGCAACCACTTTCGAGGGCCAGCCCCTCTCGACGAGCCTCGGCATGGACGCCCAAGGCCCTTGCACCCGTCTCGCGCAGCCTTACCCTCAGTTTTCGCTGCAGATGGAGTATCGGAGGATCGCGCCGCATCGCCGACGCATCGGCGACGCTTCGGCGACGCGCCGGCGACATCGACGATCCCCTGCGCGCAGCCGGCGGCGGTCGTCCTCGCCCCGCGGGCTCGACCGTCGGCCGATGGCCCCGCGCGCCGGGCGCCCCCGCGGCGCCCCACGCGGCGGCCGCCTCCGGCAGGCTGCCGCCGCCGCCGCCGCGGCGGGGCGCCGCCGCGGCCCTCGGCGCGCTGCGCGGGCCCGCCCTGCTGGGCCCCGGCGCCCCGTCGGGGGCCCGCGGCGGCCCTCGGAGGCCGGCGGCCGCGCGGGGGCGCCGCGGGCCCTCGGCGGGCCGCGGGCGCCCTCGGCGGAGGGCCGCGGCCGGGCGGCGCGGGGCGCGCGCGGGCGGCCGCGCGGCCGCCTCGCGCGGGCGGCGGGGGCGCCGCCGGGGCCGCCGCTGACCTGGAAGGCGGCGTGCGGGGAGGGCCGCGGCCTGGAGGGCCGGCTGGGCGAGGTGCAGGCGGAATGCGAGCGCGCGCTACGGGAGGCGGGCGGCCGCGCGCAAGAGTCGCCCTGCGGCTGGTGGCCGTCGGTACGGGCCCGGGGGCCTCCGCCGACGGGGGCGCCCCCTGGCGTGAGGTCGACCCGCTGCACGCGCGGGCCCGCGTCGCGCTCGCGGCCTTGAGCGACACGGAGGCGTGGGTGCGGGCCCAGATGGCTCCCCCCAGCATTGGTTTGCGCGTCTGGGTTTGGCCCACCCGCGGCCCCCTCCTAAGGCCGCGCACCCAAGGTCACTCGCGCCCAGGGCCACCCTTGCGTGTGAACAAGGTGGACGGGCTGTGGAGCGGCGAGGACCCCATCAGAGGCGGGCCGTACCAGAAGGCCGAGCAACGAGGAGCAGGAAATGGCATAAGCAGGGACTTTCGGAGGTCTGCGCGGATTTCTTGGACCGTTGCTCGAGCCCCTTGGCGGCGCCTCCAGCGCCGCCCCTGTCGCGCTCCAGCGCCGATCCAAGACATGAGCGCAGAGCTCCGGAAGCTTACCCAGAACTCCGACGTCGTGATTTTTACGACGTCGACCCCCAGAGGTCTGGCCCCCTCTCCCCCAGGGACCAGTTCTTCATCATGAGTCGTTGTTCGACGGCTCCGAGTCCCAATGAGCGCCCCTGGAGGCCGAAAACGGCGAAAACCTCTGCGTCGTGATCTTTTTTACAGCGCGAGGAGGTCTGGACTTGCTTGTGCCACGTTCTGCTCCTCGAGGGCAGGAGACACAGGTGCTGGCGCCCTGGGGCCCCGTGGCGGCCTTGCTAGGGTTGCTCGGCCTGGCCCGCGGCACGGGCGGCGAGGCGCCGGGCGAGGCGAGTCTCGCCGACGTGCCCACCTCGGTGCTGGGCGGAACCTGGCCGGGCTGCGGGCCGCTGCGCGGCAGGTTTCACTCGGCAGCGAGCGAGGGGGGGAATTAAGAAGGAGAGGGCCTGCTCAGAAGGCGGCGGGACTTCTCAGAAGCCCTCGCGCCTTCTGAGAGGTGTTTGCGTTCGCGGGGAAGGCTCAAAGAACTTTTCAGAAGGCCGGGAAACCTCCGAGCCTTTTGAGAAGGACCGCCCCTTCTCGCCTCCCCCCCTGGGCGTGCCGCCTATTCACCGTCGTCAGACCCAGGCCCCCTCGCGTCGTGAACAAGTCACGACAGGAGGTTTGTCGTTACGGTCGGCCTCTGGGGTCCCTCGCTGGGCTCCGGGACCGTCAGAAAACGACTCGGGACGAAAAACCAGTCCTGGGGAAGGGGTCCAGATCTTTTACGTTATGAAAAATCACGCTTAAGCATCCACCGTGAGATCCGACGGCGCGAAACAATTGGAACATCGGAAAAATCACGGCCGGAGCCCCACACCCCATCTTTCTGCTGCATTCTTTTCGCCGGATCTCGATCTGTGAGGGTCCCGGGGGCTGACGAAAACGCCCGGTGCAAAAAATCAAGTCGAGACGCCAGGATCTCAGGGCCTGCCCCTGCTGCACACGGGGCAGGCCCAGACATGCTCGCGTCGTGAGAAGGAACAAAGGCGGCAGGAGGTGGTTGGCCGTCCTCGCCCCCCCGAGGGACCTCGCCCCAGAGATGGTCGCGACGCAAAAAAAGTCAGGACGATAGGTTTTTGGCCGTTTTTCGGCCTTGGGGGGCCCCTCGCTGGGCCGCGGGACCGTCAACAAAACGACTCAGGATGAAAAACCGGTCCTGGGGAAAGGGTCGAGCTTTCCAGGGACCCCGTATGGAAGAAATCAGGACGTTGCATGTCTGTGGCCGGGCCCCGGGACAGTCAAAAGATGCTCTGAGCTATAAAAAGCCGCAACCCAAGGGGGGCGGCACCCATCCCCCCCACCTGGGGGGTGAGGGGGGGGGGGGGGGGGGCAAAAACCGTTTGGTTTGACGATTCTATGAGTCGTTCTGTATGCCACGGATGAGTCGGTCGTCGTTCTTGGGACACGAGAGTCGGCGGCGGGCGAGGGGGGGAAGTGAGAGTGAGAAAGAGAAGGGCATTCAGAGGAGGGCGGGGCTTCTCAAAAACCTTCGCGCCTTTTGAGAGGTTTGCTGCGTCTTCGGGGAAGGCTCAGAAGACTTCTCAGAAGGCGGGGGTACGTCCGAGCCTTCTGGGAAGGCCCGCCCCTTCCCACTTCCCCCCCCCCCCCGGGCGCGCCGCTCAGAGAGGCTCCTCCGTGCGAGAAGGCGGGCTGCTCTTACGACAGCCGCTCTCACGACAGCGCGAGTCGTTCTCATGATGCGTTTTGGCGGCGATGGCCCAGCAGGTTCTCCTCGGAGCTGTCCGCCGCGCTGCCCGCCACGGACGGCCCCGAGAGGCTCGCGGCCCGCGCGGTGGAAGACCCCGAGGCCTCCGCCGACGAGGGCACTCTGTGGCGGGAGGCCTTCGAGCTCCTGGTCGAGGGCTGGGGCCCGGAGCTCGGGAGGGAAAAATAGGCACACACACACACACACACACCCGCGCGCGCACACACACACAAACGTCGAGTAGGGGAGATCGACTACAGAATTGACTTGCACCAAAATTGATTTCCGCGTCGAATCTAAAAGAAAGATGTAGCATATTCATGGATCCGACGAGGAAACTCACTTTGGGGTATATCGATTATGTAGTCGATCCTTTAGTCGAGAAAGCCGATTCCCAGGAGAATCGTGGGAAGATGGGAGAGGTGGAGGGGACGACGCAAGTCCATGAAGTGTGGGAATCCTGGTATCCTTGTGTCCACTTAGTTGAGTGTCCCTCCTCGTCTGCTCCCCCCCTCGTCCGCGCCGGCGTCTTCGTTTCACCAACAATTGACAAGGGGAAAGCGGACGATGGCGGTCCCGCGGCAGGACAGCCTGCCGACTCCACAGTCGCATCTCTAACGTTGGCACCGCGTCACCGGGGTCTTGTAATTATATGAGTGCATGTACACAAGTACAGAACATATTTAGAAATATCGGGAATCTTGGGATCGGTGCCCCAGCTACTCCCAGACCCCCGACGTCGTGATTTGTTCACAACGTCGACCCCTTCCCGGGACCCTTTCCCCGGGACCAGTGTTTCGTCTTGAGCCGGTTTTTGACGGCCCGAGGCCCGGGAAGGACCCCCGGAGGCCGAACTTCGCGAACAATCCTCCCGTCGTGATTTTTCTCATGATCCGAGGGGTCTGGGGTCTGGGTTTGTGTGAGTCCCTGGTCGAAGGCGAAGATATTCCATAAGCATGGACTGTTGGCGCTCCGCGCGGACTTCTTGCATCTGCGCTGGACCCCCCTCCCTGGCGCGCGGAGCGCTCCAGGGCCAGCGCCGAAGGCGCCCCCAGGGGGGCCCAGGCGCCGATCCCAGAAATCCGCGCGGAGCGCCAAAAGTTTATGTTTATGGCGTGTTTTCTTCCTCGACCAGGGCCCCTGCAGAAGCACGCGCGGGCCCGCGACGCGCTCGCGGCCCTGCGCGACGCGGAGGCGCGGGCCGAGGAGCGGCGCGGCCGGGCGGTGGCGGCCTGGCGGGGCCGAGTGCTGGATCAGAGCGGTGGGGCTTCGGGCTGCGCACGGGAAGCCCAGGGCGAGGAGGACCATCCTCTGGCTGCTCCGCGGGCTCCTCCTCGGCCTCCTCCGCCTCCGCCTCCTCCTCCTCATCATCATCATCGTCAGCAGCAGCAGCAGCAGCATCACCATCACCATCACCATCACCATCACCATCACCATCACCATCACCATCACCATCACCATCACATCATCATCATCATCATCATCATCATCATCATCATCATCATCATCATCATCATCATCATCATCATCATCATCATCATAATCATCATCATCATCATAATCATCATAATCATCATCATCATCATCATCCTCATCCTCATCCTCATCCTCATCCTCATCCTCATCATCATCATCATCATCACCATCACCCTCACCATCACCATCACCATCATCATCGTCATCGTCATCGTCATCGTCATCATCATCATCATCATCATCATCATCATCATCATCATCATCGTCATCGTCATCGTCATCGTCATCGTCAACATCATCGTCATCATCATCTTCAGCATCAGCATCAGCATCAGCATCAGCATCAGCATCATCATCATCATCATCATCATCATCAGCATCATCAGCATCAGCATCATCATCATACACTTATCCTCCACGTCCTCCTCCACCCTGCGATTTGAACGAGATTGGGCAAAGGGCCCCACCCTGACTACAAGAGTGTCGGGGCCATTGCCGATCTCGAGACGAGTTGCCCCCTATGAAGGAGGTCGGCGGCTGAGGATGTTTTAAAAAGCGTTCTCCGCGGCGTCCTCTTCGACGTCGTCATCATCAGCATCTCCCCCAGGTAATCCAAGCGCTGGCCTCGGCAGGCTCCCCGAGCACTGCCCCAGCCGGCCTCGACGGGCCCCCCGAGTAGGCTTGGCGGTCACGGCACCATCCTGCCTCCGGCGGCGCCCCTGGGGCACATAACTAGTAGGATGCGTCTCTTGCCAGGCTCAATTCAAGAATCGGCGCTGGCATGTATCCTAGTCGAAAACTGTCGAAACGATGCACGATCCCGTTGAATCCGGCTTGATCCTGTTCGAACCGGCCTAATCCCGTTCATTTTGGCTAAATCCCAGGCTCAATCTGGCTTCATCTGGACCAATCGGGCTTGATGTTTCATAGCCCTTGATCGTTCGGGCAGAGGCCCCCCAGGAGTTGCCTCCCAAGGTTGAGGTGCCGAGGCCGCCCCGGACTACTCGGGGGGCCTGTTGGGGGCAGCCGGGACTGCCTGGGGGAGGGGCGGGGGGTGCCCGTGCGCAGTCCGAAGCCCCACCGTGCCAGATGTCGCGGGCGGACGGTGGGGCGCATCCGCCCGAGCAGCTGGACGCCGCGCTGGTGCAGCTGCAGGGGGCTGGGGCGGTGGCGTCCCGCAGCCTGGGCCTGCTGGAGCGGCTGACGCTGGAGGCGGAGGACCTGCAGGTGAGCGACGGGAGGGGAGGGAGGAGGCAGAGGTGGGAGGGGAGGGGAGGGAGGACATGGAGGAGCAGGAGGAGGACGAGGAGGAGGAAGAGGAGGAGGAGGAGGAGGAGAAGAAATGGTGAAGAGGAGGAGGAGGAGGAGGAGGAGGAGGAGGAGGAGGAGAAGAAGAAGAAGAAGAAGAAATGGTGAGGAGGAGGAGGAGGAGGTGGCAGGGAGGAAGTGGCAGCGGCGGAGGGTTAGGGGAAGGGAGGAGAAGGTGGGCGGCGTCGAAACACGGGGTCGACTGCGCGGACATCGGCCAGGAACCCTCCTCATCGATCCTCGACCCTCCTCCAGGCCTCCCAGATGGGGTCGGAGTGGATTGGGTCAGAGGATTCCGCCGCATCGACGCCACGTCGCCGATGCATCGGTGGTGCATCGACGATGCGGCGCGGTCCTCCGACGCCGTTCATTTCTTCGTTTTCACAAGGGCTCTGCATTGGAGCGGCGGTCATGGCCAAGACTGGGTCACACGGCTCCGTTGGGTCACGGGGCCAACACGGGGTCATACCAACCCCGTTGGACTCCCGAGGGCTCCCAACGATGGCTCCGGCGAGGCGTCACACATCCCGCCCACCAACACGGGTGTGTAATTGCCACATGCTGGTAGCGTTACAAATGGACGCGACGAGCGACGCAGAAAAGCGGGCTCGATTGCGCGGACACTGGCGTGCAAGTTTCCCGCGTAAGGTTGCGCGTAGGCGCCCTCGTTGCCGATGTGGCGTTCCGTGCCGGCAGCCGGCGTACGCCACCGCGTGAGGTCCCTGTGACATCATGCGCAAGACCCGTCGTTGTTCGTCTCTCAGGTGGAGCTGCGGCGGCTGGAGGACGAGCACGCCCGCAGCCCCGGGGCGGCCCGCTTCGCCAGCCGCGAGGCGAGACTGCACGCGATAACCCGAGATCCTGGCGGCGATCGGATGCGCGAGTTTGCGTCGTTGATGGGCCCCAGGACCATCACGGACCGATTCAGCTCGATAGATGCAGCGAAGAGATAGGGTCTGGGACTCCGGCCGTGGTTTTTCGCGGGGGGCCTTCGCCGGGTTGTCCCCTGGTGCTGGCCCACGGCAGTCTCCACAAAAAAAGTTGGGCAGGGTTCGCACTCGCTCCTGCGGCCCAGACATCCGACAGTGTGATATCCGTAAGGGCTTCGCCCCATGCCGCCGGCCCCCTGTCTCGGATAATGGGAGATGCAAAAGCTAAATCATGAGGTCTGGGCGCCGCTGTGAAGCAGTGTCGGGTTCTGTTTGTTTTTCGACCCTGACCCTACGGATCTGCGTCACGGGCGCCACCGAATTTCAGAAATGTGGCAAATCCTTTTTTGTTTTTGGACCCTGACCCTACGGATCTGCGTGAGGGGTGCCGCCGAACTTCAGAAATGTAGCAAATCTCATGTGTTTTTGGACCCTGACCCTGCCGATCTGCGCGAGGGGTGCTGCCGAATTTCAGAAATGTGGCAAATCCCATGTGTTTTTGGACCCTGACACTGCCCATCTGCGTGAGGGGTGCCACCGAATGTCAGAAATGTGGCAAATCTCATGTGTTTTTGCACCCTGACCTCGCCGATCTGCGTGAGGGGTGCCACCGAATGTCAGACATGTGGCAAATCCCATGTGTTTTTGCACCCTGACCCCGCCGATCTGCGTGAGGGGCGCCACGGGATTTCAACATGTGGCAAATCCCATGTGTTTTTGTACCTGACCCCGCCGATCTGCGTGAGGGGTGCCACAGGATTTCAAACATGTGGCAACTCCCATGTGTTTTTGCACCCTGACCCCGCCGATCTGCGTGAGGGGTTCCACCACCGAATTTCACAAATGTGGCAAATCCGATATGTTTTTGGACCCTGACCCCGCCGATCTGCGTGAGGGGCGCCACGGGATTTCAAACATGTGGCAAATCCCATATGTTTTTGGACCCTCACCCCGCCGATCTGCGTGAGGGGTGCCGCAGGATTTCAAAACTGTCGGAAATCCCATGTGTTTTTGGACCCTGACCCCGCCGATCTGCGTGAGGGGTGCCACCGAATGTCAGAAATGTGGCACATCCCATGTGGTTTTGCACCCTGACCCCGCCGATCTGCGTGAGGGGCGCCACAGGATTTCGAAAATGTAGCAAATCCTGTTTGTTTTTTTGTACCCTGACCCTACGGATCTGCGGGAGGGGTGCCACCGAATGTCAGAAATGTAGCAAATCTCATGTGTTTTTGGACCCTGACCCTGCCGATCTGAGTGAGTGGCGCCGCCGAATTTCAAACATGTGGCAAATCATATGTGTTTTTGCACCCTGACCCCGCCGATCTGCGCGAGGGGTGCCGCCGAATGTCAGAAATGTGGCAAATCCCATGTGTTTTTGGACCCTGACCCTGGATGCCACCGAATTTCAAACATGTGGCACATCCCATGTGTTTTTGCACCCTGACCCCGCCGATCTGCGTGAGGGGTGCCACCGAATGTCAGAAATGTAGCAAATCCCATGTGTGTTTGGACCCTTACCCCGCCGATCTACGTGAGGGGTGCTACAGGATTTCAAAAATGAAGCAAATCCTTCGTGTTTTTGAATCCTGACCCCGCCGATCTGCGTGAGGGGTGCCACCGAATGTCAGAAATATGGCAAATCCCATGTGTTTTTGCACCATGACCCCGCCGATCTGCGTGAGGGGTGCCAGCAATTTTTAGAAATGTGGCAAATCCCATGTGTTTTTGGACCCTGACCCCGCCGATCTGCGTGAGGGGTGCCACCGAATGTCAGACATGTGGCAAATCCGATATGTTTTTGGACCCTGACCCCGCCGATCTGCGTGAGGGGTGTTAATTTTATACCCACCCCAGCAATTCAGAGCACAGGCTCAGGGCGTGGTAAAAATGCACGTTTTGGGCCTCCCCCCCTCGCGCGGTCCATCAACAAGGAACAGTAAGCAGCAAGAAGCAGAACTGTAACAAGGAACAGTCAGCAGCAAGAAGCAGAACTGTAACAGTGGAAACTGGAAGCTGCAACTGGTAATTACAGGAAGCTGCGAACCTTAGGCCTATAGCCTGGTGGCCCCACAAGGGGGCCGGCAGATTTCTTCAGTCCGCGGCCTCTGAGTTCTCGACGCCTACTCCTCCTCCTCCTCCTCCTCCTCCTCCTCCTCCTCCTCCTCCTCCTCCTCCTCCTCCTCCTCCTCCTCCTCCTCCTCCTCCTCCTCCTCCTCCTCCTCCTCCTCCTCCCCCTCCCCCTTCCCCAGGATATGTGTTTTTGCGGGCCCCGGGGCCCGACAGCGGGCCCCCTGGAGGTCGAGATCGAAGAAAGGCGCCAGGCTTGAAAACATCTCACCGTCGGAGATCGGTGTGCGGGCTTGGGTTTGGCCCCCCCCGCGCCACTCTGACAGGGCTCGTTTCGATTCCTCTGGTTCGATTCGATTCGATTTCGATGGCTTCCGATTCCGATTCGATTCGAGCTGGGATTTCGATTTGGGCTCCGATTTCTCATAGGAGGCCTACTAACCTTCCGATGCCCGCCGATTCGACTCTTCCCGACTCGGTTGTGGGGACCACATCCCCGCGCGCGGCCATGCGAGGCGTCGAGGCAGGTGGCGGAGGAGTTGTCGCGCCGCTTCGGGCAGATCCGGGGCTGCTTCATGCCCGCCATGGTGCCCGGCGCGATGGAGGGGGTCGGGCGGTTCCGCGACGCGATCGGCAACCTGAATCCGTTCTGCTGATACGGGCTCGTCCCGTCCTCCTCCTCCTCCTCCTTCTCCTCCTCCTCGCCTTGCCGCTGAGTGGCGCGGCGCGCTCTGGCGCCGCGTAGGTGGGCTGCTGACGGAGAGACAGCGGCCAGCTCAGAGACGTGGGATCTTCCTTCTCCTCGCCTTCCCAGGCCTGGGTCGTTTGCTTAACCGCTCCGCTGATCCTCGTCCGTGCCGCTTCGCCATCCTGGCCTCCACCCTCCCTCCTTCCACTGCCGCTCGGCGGAGTGCGAGCGTACCCGCTGGCCCCACGCCGCGCGCGCACCGTGCCACTGTCCCCATCCATCGTCACTCCGCTGAGGCAGGTCCGCTCGGAGAAACACATCTACTCGGGGCATGGATGGGGTAGTGCAATGGGCACACCAACCAGCCTGCCAGCGCGTGCACCACGATGATTTGTTATCTCCACATTGGCCCGCAGAGCGCCCTGAGTCACCTCATTAACCTGGGCTGGCACGGTAACGGAAAGAGCGTTGCAGGAATTTGCCCGAGATGGTTCATGGCACCTTTCGCTCTTGGGAGCCTGGGCGTCAAGAGCTTGTTGCGTCACCGCTCTCTGTTGGGAGCCTTGGTGCTCACATACTTTTACGTTGCCGCTCGCTCTTGGGTGCCTTCCTGTTCAGAGCTCTTTACGTCACCCCGCTGTGGGGAGCCTTGGTGTTCAGAGCGTGTTACGTCACCGCTCGCTGTTGGGAGCCATAGTTACTTGGCGTCTCTGGGGCTTCTTGGGAGTCTTTGGGGGGCCGTCTTGGGGCCGTTTTCGGACTCTTGGGCCGTCTTGGGGCCAGCCCAGTCCCCACACCCAAGCAGCCCAGTCACAACACCGCCTCTTCGGGCCCGCTTGGGAGCCTCTTGGGGCCCTTTTGGGCTCTTGGGGCTCTCTTGGGGCCGGCTTGGGGCCCTCTTGGGCCGTTTGGGAGCCCTCTTGGGCCGTCTGGGGGCCCCCCTTGGACCGTTTTCGGCCCCTTTCGGGCGCCTCTCGGGCCGTCTTAACACGATCGTTGGGGTCTCGTGGGCCGTCTTGGGCCCTTCTGGATCCGAAAAGGCGAGAACCCGAACAACATTCAAGAACCAAAGGAACATCAATTTTGGGTGGCCTCCTCAGGCCCTCTCGGGGCCCTCTTGAGGGCTTCTGGAGCTGTCTTGAGGCTCTCTTGGACCGCCTGGAGGCCATCCGTCTTGGTGTCCTCTTGGCCCGTTTTGGGGCCTTCTTGGTCGGTCTTGGGGCCCTGGAGCCGCTTCATCCGAAAAAATGCAAGGAATCGGGCCATGGACGCCGACCGGCCGTTTGATTCGAACAAGTACAAAGGAAAATATGTGTTAGACCCATGTTCACCCCCTCCCCCCCACCCCTGAAACCCCTCCCTAGAGGGCTATTCGCCCCACAAGAACGTCATCACTCGTACCTCGCTCTTTCCGTTATCTCAACGTCGGAGGGTGTTAGACTATGTCGTTACGATTGGGTGAGAAGCAGATCTGAGCGTGAGGGTCAAGCTGCCGTCGTCACCGACGCCGTTTGGCTCAAGTAGTCAACCTTTGGAGCGCACGCCTGATTGCCGACGTTTTTTTATTATAAATAAAACACACACACACACACATATATATATATATATATATATATACATACATATATATACACATACATACACAAATTAATACATCCAATGTAGTTGTAGGACCCGTCCATATGCGGTTGTGAGAACCGCATTTGTGCATATCTTCTTCGGTGGCGCTCCCTATGGGGCCACGAATCGTATGAGGGGTGCGCCGGATTGCGTGGCGGGGTACACAACACGAACGAAGACGATAGCTCGAATTACGAGAGACTGAGCACGGGTGAGTCTGAGCGCGAGTGAGTCTGAGTGTGAATGAGTCTGCGTGCGAGTGAGTGTATTTGCATGAATGCGAGCACGGCCGCGCATGGTGTGTATATCTGTACACACATAGGAATGTGAATGGTTCACGTATGCCTGACCCTGAGTACTCGTCACACTGAGCGTGGCCGCCGCAGGAAGCTTCCTCTGGAACCCCGACAGCAGCGCCCGCACGCCGCGACGCCCATGTCGGCACGCTCCTCTCGAAGATCGCGCCCGCTTCCTTCCCGTTTTTGTTCCCCCCTCCTTGCCCGTGCACGCCCATGTCCAAGACTCCGTGCGGCGCCGCGACGCGCGTTGGTCGCCCCGGAGGGGTCCCGGCGACGCGCGCGGGTCGTCCGCTGCGCGGAGCAGAGAGAGCTAGCTGGCTGGCTGATAGCGGGCAAGGCTGTGGCCGCTGGGCAGAGCGACGACGGGGGCGAGCAAGGCTCTGGGCAGAGCGCAGCGCGGAATTCCCGCGAAGCGCGCTGGTCGCCCCGAGAGGGTCCCAGCGACGCGCGCGGGTCGCCCGCGGCGCGAGGCCAAGCAGTCAGACCGTCGAGAGACGGCGAGGCTCGGGCGGGCCGCTCCTCAGGTCAAGCCTCGCGGATAAACTCGGTGAAGCTCAGCTCCCTGGCGAGGGCCGCCGCCTCCCTCCTGCACCGTTTCGTGCGCGTGGCAAACTGCCCCAGCTGCTTCCGCAAGCCTTCCGGCGGCTTTGCCAGGAAGAACTCTATGCAATTTACTCCATGGGACCTTAGTGCAAAAATGGGGCGGCGGCGCCATGCGAGCTGCGCCACTGGCACCTTCGGTGGAGCCCCCTGTGGTGCCACGAAAAGTGTAAGAGGTGCCAAAATGGGGCGGCGGCGCCATGCGAGCTGCGTCACTGGGACTCAGGTGGAGCTTCTTATGGGGCCCCGAATCGTGTGAAGGGTGTGCCAAAGTTGGGCGGCGGTGTCATGCGAGCTGCGCCACTGGTACCTTCGGTGGAGCCCCCTGTGGTGCCCATTCACTCACTCTCGACGCGAATGGCCCACTCACTCACGCTCGGCGCTCACTCACTCACTCACGTCAATCTGCCATGGCCCATGCACTCTCGACGCGAATGCTCATGCTTGCATTTTCGCGAAAGTTTTGTAAACGGTCAGTATCTCAAACAAAACGCACAGAACAAATCGAATGCGCAACCTTCCCCTTGTTTGATGGGGCCACGAAGCGTGCGAGAGTTGTGCCAAAATGGGGCGGCGGCGCCATGCGAGCTGCGCCACTGGGACCTTAGGTGGAGCTCCCGATGGGGCCACGAAGCGTGTGAGAGGTGTGCCAAAAATGGAGCGGCGGCGCCATACGAGCTGCGCCGTTGGGGCTCAGGTGGAGCTTCCTATGGGGCCAGAAACGTGTGAGGGGTGTACCAGAATGGGGCGGCGGCGTCATGCGAGCTGCGCCACTGGCACTTTAGGTGAAGCTCCCAATCAGACAGGGGAAGGATGACGCTTTCGATTTTTTTGGCCCTCCGCACTGAGTCACTCCGACCCCCCCCCCGGGTGGGAACCGCCGCGGGCGCGCGCCAACCCTTATATGGACCTCCAGCCACTGGGGAGCCCGGCGCCTGTCGTTGCCGCTGACACCGTGGCAGTGTGAGGGCCCCTCCCAGCCGTGTTGGGGCGATTTTGGGAGCCTCTTGGGCCGTCTTTCGCGCTGTCAAAACGAAACAAGTGAGTATGTAAAGAAAGTACGTTTTCCTCTGGGAATGTGACAATTGTTGCTTCCTGGGGCCGCCTCGGCAGACCTCTGGAAGCACTCTTGGGCCGTCTTGGGCGCCTCGTGGGTCGTCTCGGAGCCATCTGGGGCCGTCGTGGGGCTGCGCGTGGGTGGGAGTCCTCTAAACATACCAACATTACCTGACTGTCTGTAGGAACGACCCCCCCTGGAAGCGCAGAGGCTCGTGCTGGCGGCGGCCACAGCGGCGCTGGCGGCGACGGCGGCCGCGGCGGCGCTGGCGGCGACGGCAACGGCTGAAGACGACGATATTTGGGTCAGTTGCGAGTCGGGCCAGTTCGTGCCTCAAGCCTTTGCTCGTTTCGGTGCGCGGGGAGTTCATTGTCCCGATTGCTCCGCGCGTTGCTGCTCTGCTAAGCGTCGGCGCTTCACCGTCTGTGCAAACAAAGAGAAGGCGTTGGGCACGCGTTCAGTGGGTACCGGGTCTTGTCGTAGAAAGCCTCCCCTCTGCCAACCGCGCGAAAACTGCGTTCTTGCAGAGCCAACGAGAGCGCCAGGGCGAGTTCTCGTCGACCAGGTAAGAGTCCGGCGCGTCCCAGTCCACTGTTGCCATCACGGCGACCCCGTACAAGTATTGTACTGCGGGTACGCGTGGACGTTCGTGACGCTCTGTCCCCCGCGGGACTTCGTGTTCGTCGCCTGCAGTACAGCCCTCCACCGGAGCAGCTGCGCCCACGAGTTGCAGTTGTCCAGCACCAAGCTGTCATGCTGGTCGCACTGAAAGCTACGGAGGTCCAAGTGCTTTGCCTCCTCCACTGTCAGCACCAGCGGCTTGCTGAAGAGGCTCTCCGCGTAGCTCGACTTTCCAGACGCACTGTCGGCCACGAGAGCCGGAGGGTTCCATCGGAAGTCGAGGGACAGGAACGGCTCCTCCCACTCGCGCGCGGCAGGGAGCTCGCGACAGGGCGCCCGGATCTTGTCCAGCGCGGAGTCCACGAGGGCGACCCGGTCGTCGATCCAGGCCTCCTCCGCCGCGCGGACTGCCTCGACGTTGCGCTTCCTTTTTGCGAAGCCTACCCGGACTCGCGATGCGAGGGCCTCGTAGTTGTCGTTGTCGAGATTCTCGTCTGTCCAGAGGTCGTCCAACCACTTGCCCTGCACGCGGTACTTCTTCCACGGCGGCTGGTTGGTGCCCCTGAAGAGCGTCTTTTTTTCGGCGCCCAAGCGTCGAAGTGGGCGCAGTTGCTTGCCTCTGCCAAGCTAGCCCCCCTGGGGGCCTTCAGCGTGCCCGTCGGCGTCTGGCTGGTTAGCGCCGCCGTCGGGCGGACATCTGGCACGACGCCGCGAAAGGCAAACACAACCGGAGTTGCGTTGTCGATGGCCTTCTTTATATTTATCTTCCAATGGAAGTGAACACGCCCCGCGTGTTCGCTGTCTAGGGACTCCTCCAAAGTGGGCGTGCTTTGCTCGACGCCCAACCCCTTCTTCTTGCGCTTCTTCCAGTCGCGCCACAGCGCCCAGAGGTCCTCGTTGGAAGCTGCTGGGGGGGTGCCGTCGGGGAAGGCCTTGTCCGCGAAGAGGCGGTTGTAAGTGAGCAGGAAGCTGCGTCCGTGCACTCGGAACCCGCTGGCAGAACTTCCAGAAGCGTCGTCTCCAGCACCTGCCTGGTGCACGTATTCAGGGACCGCAGGGAAGCTAGCCAAGTAGGGAGGGCACCGCGTCCTCCAACTTCTGCTTGTCTTCCCGCTCTGGCGGCTTCTTCCGGATGTCGGTGACCATGGCCAGTACCTTCTCCCGGGCCGCATTGTCTCTGACTTGGGCAACGCCGCG